GATAATAGCGGTAAAGGGTACTTATTTTTAACAGTGATGTTGTTGAGTCCTCTATAATCAATACAGGGCCGCAGGGATCCGTCCTTCTTCCCAACGAAGAAGAACCCCGCTCCTAGTGGTGATGATGAAGGCCGGATGATGACCCGGGAGGAACTGCAGAGCGGAGACATGATGAGTGGCAGGGAGTAGACCAAGAAAGGACGTGCCCCTCGGACCAGTCTATTTGGGGGTTATGTTGTTTGAGCCACTGGAAACCTAAGACTACCGGAGAATTAGAAGTGGGAAACACGAAGAAAGAAATCCACTCAGAGTGGTTGCCGGAAATGGTCAGGTGGAGCGGTTTCGTCTGGTGAGTAATAGGCTGTAATGTCTTACCGTCTAGTGAAGTGACTCTAAAAGGAGTTGGCAACGGGACTGTTTCAACGCCCCTCTCTTTGACAAAAACCTCGTCCAATAGGTTCCGTTCACACCCCGAATCAACGAGAGCGGATAATGGGAATGACTGATTAGCGTGGGTTATGGTAGCCGGCAAAAGGAGTCGCGGTGAGGTCTTCTGATTCTGGTGGTCCGCCACCACCCTCACTCCGGCTGGCGGACCTGGGAGTTTGACCGGAGCGGGCAGGAGGAACGGAAATGGCCAGGCGCACCGCAGTAGAGACAGAGGCGACTCGACATTCTACGTTGTCGCTCCTGCGGTGTGAGACGCGTACCACCCAGCTGCATGGGTTCGGGGGTAGCCGAAACGCGGGCAGGAGATGCTAGCGGGGCTGCTCTAAGCCGTCCGTGGTCTGCCTCGGGAGAGCGGTGCCGACCTCTTTCACGAGCGCGGAAGCGGAGACGATTATCAAGCCTGATGGCGATACTGATAAGGTCCTCTAGAGTCTTTGGCTCGTCTAAAGTGGCTAATTGGTCTTGTATAGGCTCATTAAGCGCCTGGAAAAACACGCTCTTTAGCGCTGCCGCATTCCACCCCGTGGAAGCGGCTTTGGTGCGGAAGTGGATAGCAAAATCAGCCACAGTCTGTTTGCCCTGTTTTATGTGCAAGAACTCACGGGAAATGTGGGTCTTATCGGAGTCCAAGCTAAAAACCTGTTTAAATTCAGTCAAGAAGTGGTCAAATGAAACACCGTAATCCGTGGGGTCAGGGAAACGGGATTCTGCCCATAATAAGGCTTGACCAGACAGCTGTGCGAGCATGTAGGCTATCTTTGTGCTGTCTTGAGAGAAACTCTGGGGAGCGCTGTTGAATATAATAGAACATTGTAGCACAAAACCATTACACCTTGTACGGTCTCCGGAAAATTTTTCTGGCCCGGGGAGGCGGACGTCGGAAAAGACGGGCGGAACCGGAGCTATCGGACCAGGAACGGGGGCAGGAGTAGATGGTGGTGAATGAGAGCTCTGCAGAAACGCGGTTAGCTCTCCTAAACGCTGGTTCGTTTCCGTCTGGAGATCATGGAGTTGTCTAAGCGCCACCTTGTGGGCCTGGATCTCAGATTGCTGCTCGATCAACGTTTTGCGAATTGCGTCCGCTGGACTGAGAGTTTGGCCTGAGTGTTCTGTCATAATGGGGAATTTTATTTCCAGCCCATATGCAGAACACAATACGCAGAGAGATCCAGGTGGAGTGCAAATATTTACAAGGTTTATTTTACACAACAGTGAACGAGGAATGACAGGGATTCGGGTCCGGTCCACAGGAGCGTCTCGGGAGGGGGGAGCGATCGGGAACTATGTAAACAGATGAGGTGGTGAGTTCAGGGACAGTCGGAAACACGGTGTGAGGGTAAACAGGAACAGTCTTACTTGAGGGGTAGACAGCTGCAGCGTGGAAGAGATTCACTGCAGGGTAGCGGCAGGGTGTGTGTGTGTGTAGGCGGGCGGACAGGTGGGCTCGGTGTCCACGGTGGAAACGCGGAGCAGGACGAGGAGCGAGGCACGAGGAGCGAGGAGCAGCCAGCCAAGGAATCCGAGGGGAGCCTGTTGTTGCACAGAGAAGGTGAGTCGAGAAACTCAGCACAACGGGAAATCCTTCCACTGCATCGGGTGAATGGTCTGGTGAAAGAAGAAAGCGACAAAGAGACAGTCACAGGAGGGCAATCTCAGACGAGAAGGAAAAGAACACTTGACAGCAACAGGGAGGCTCAGAGGTACCAATACGGGAAGACACTCAGGCGCCGAAGACTGGCAGGTTGCTCCTGAAGACGCTGCTCCTGATGAGCTCAACTCGCAACCGGTGTGCTCGCTGACGTAATCCAGCCCACCGTCCTGACAGCGCCCTCTGGTGGAAAAGAAGAAGCACAACCACCCAAACCAAACCCATGGCGACAAAACGCTAAGAACAACCCCAAGACCCTGACAAATACACTGTTAAGCCTATTCCCCGCAGAAGAGGAGTTGTTTCAGGAGGGTTATTTAAACCCCCCAGACCAGAGAAAAACTGCAACTTTTGACCCGCAACCTGGGAGAGTGTCTGGAGCTTTGGATTAAAAAAAAAAAAAGAACGGTCAGTTAAAATACCATACTGTTTAAGAATGTGAGGACCATCTTATGTCAGAGGGGATTTAATTGTGTGTCTTGTATTTTATTTTTATTTTTATTTTGTTGTTCTTGTGTGATGTTTGTACTGGTATGTATTCCTTATTGCCTATGTTAGATCATTTGATGTCTCATCTTTTGTCAAGTTATAATGCAGAAGATATATGTCAGTAAGAGACAGACGAATGCAACTGTGGACATGTGTTGTTAAAAATAAATAAAAATAAAGTTTAAAAAGAAAAAAAAATGAACCTTTTTTTTCATATCAGTTGGTTTCGTCAGAAGTCTGAAGAAAGAGCCTTATGCAGGTCCTCTGTCAGAGCTTGTGCAACTTTTTTTGCACAAAAGACGAAAAAAAATAAAAATAATCCACAAAATGTTATGTGTGACACAGGAAATTAGTTTGAGTGAGTATCTCGTCTTAGCTTGCATGGATTTTGCAAACCATGAATCCAATTTTATCCATTTACATTGAATGATAAATTGAATTTTTAATTTTTATCACGGCTATGGACCACACCATCAGTGATCTTGAAACCAGGTTTTTCACTACAGCAGGAATAGTTGATAAGTTCTGTGGTGTTTTAAACATTGGGCAGATTAGGATGTAAGCCCTTCTGTGTGCCAGCCAGTTATGAAGAAGGAAGAAATATACCAGAGGTCTCACCGCCAAGGAAAGATGAGACACGCCATTTGAACATGACATATGCTACCACTTTTCCTGCTAATCAGTCTCCTAAACACATTACACAACATGCAACTATCAGACATTTTGGAGAAGTGTGAATTATTTTATGTAGATTTTGTATGTTCCCTGTGACTGTGTGGAGAGAGCTTTCAGTAAACAAAACCTCATAAACTATTTGAGGTCCACTACAAATCAAGGCAGGTTGTGCAGTCCTGCCATGTTGTCCATTAAAAGCCAGTGGACTGGAAAGCAAAACTGTGAAGACTTGATCAATAAGAAGGCTCAGTACTGGTGAGTCAGGCAGAATAAGATGCATATTGTTCTGAACAGTGTCCATTGATGATGAAGTGTAGAGTTGGAGTATTTATTTAGAACACCTGTTATGGCATGCTATGCATCAGTGATATATCTATTTAGGACAGGAAGCAAATATGGAACTAATGCAACATTTTCATCTTGTTTGATGTCATTCTGAGATATAATGTAGACCTTACTATTAAAACATTGCCTGCTTCCATCCGGGATCTGGCCATTGTTGACCTCATCCCAATTTCTTTCATGGTGCTAATAAGAGTCCAGAGAGGAATCAGCCCACTTCTGACTCCTTTATCAGAATGAACAATAGTCACCACATAAATGTGTTTTTTTTTCTGTTTATTTCTTGGCTTGTGAAAAAAGTAATTTCTCATATATTATGTTATTGCTGTTACCCAATAGGTAACAGCAACAACAACTAAAAGACAATGGGGAGAGTTTTCCTGTCTATTCTTAAGAAAACTGACTGTGAGTGAAGAGACAGAGAGAGAAAAGGAAGGAGAGAGAAAGGGGAGGAGACAGGTGGAGAGAGACTGCCTCTGAATATGACTTTATTGGTGAGTCCAATCACACATGCAGCTCAGTGAGCGCAGCGAGGATAGATAAGCGTCTTCATCTGCTGGGATCACATTAGAGCGAAAAGACCTTCTGTCTCACATAACAGAGGCCAGGCAGCACACACCACCTATTTCCTTAACAGAGGCGTCATATGTTCCCCTCTGCGGCTCAAAAGCATCCACTTCTCCCTCCTTAAGAAAGGCGACACAAACTCAACGCGATGTCGCGCTGCTTCTCCCGATTCTGGTTTTTCATATATTTTTATTTTATTTATAACTGTAATATTGCACCTCGACAACTTCTACGGAGTTATGTTATAAAGCGTCTGAGACTGACCTGCTCATTTTCAAACACATGGAGGAAAATCTGATCAAAGTCTGACAACTCTTTAACAGTAGATACGTTTTTTAATACATTCATACCGTACGAGTTATTGTAGTTTTTTATGAGTTTATAAAAAACTACACTCTCATATAGTAGTGCTGTTAAGGTCTGTGTAGCTCCTCATTGGCGAGCTATATATATATATATATATATATATATATATATATATATATATATATATATATATATATATATATATATATATATATATATATATATATATATATATATATATATTCAATTGAGAACTCATAAAAAAATGTCTGAATAGTCAATAATAAAGATAAAAAAGAATAAGCAGTTCTTCGTCTTATAGTCTGAGTAACAAATTCCTCCCGCTGCACTGTTCCTGTCTCTTCTCTGTCTGTCCGTGTGCGTACGCGTGTGCGGGCGCGCGCGTGTGTGTGTGTGTTAGCACAGACACAGAAACACACACACACGTAACCGCTCATCGACATACCGACACACGCTGTATCGCTGTGTAGCTCCTCATTGGCGAGCTGGTGCAGCTGACTGACTGACCGACCGTCTGCTCCAGGCTCCTCCAGGGCTCCCCGCTCCCACACCGGCACTGAGCTGCCAGCAGGCACCGCAGGGAGGAAGGTCCGGGGACGGGATGCTTTTTACGGCGGGGGCTCCGGCGGCGGCGACCGCTTAGATCACGAGTCTCCTGCCCCGGCGGTCCAACACCTCTGTTAGGCTTTCTCCGGTGAAATGATGACTTCTCTCATTTGTTGAGTTCGGGAGGAAAGGAGAGGTTGCAAACAGCGCGCCGGACACCAGGACTATGATCTGTGGCAGGATGGCTTGTTTTGATGAATAGAGCTAAAAGGAGAAGCGAAGAAAAAACAAAAGAAGAAAACCAGAAATCAATTGAGATAAGAAAAAGAAGAAGAATGTTTTCAACACTTATTTGATGTTCTGATGCACTCAGTAATTTCTGCTATCTCTTTGTTGATTGAGTTGTGACCGTTTAGTCACTGGGTGCAGGGTCTGAATTCTGCTTCAAAGTTTTATCCGAGGTTCGCTGAGAAGAAAGAAGATTGCTGTTAAGGTCTGTGTTTGAATTTCACTACTCAGTCGAATACCCAGTCCTCCCAGTGACTCCAGTAATCAGTGGCAACCGGAGGTGAGGAAGGAGCGCACCGGAGACCGCCAGGACCATGATCAGGATCTTCCCGGATTTCAGCGTCCAGGTGACGGCCTCGGCGACCGGAGGAGTCGGGTCTGGTGGTGGAGGAGGCGGAGCCGGAGGGATGGTGACTGGACCCCCTGTAGGTCGGGTGCCGGTTCCGGTACCAGGAGCCACTAACGGGACTCCACAGGGTGTCCAAGGAATTTCCGCATACCAGCAAAGGTTAGTGGGGATTTAGCAGGACTTTTGATCTGTACATTGTAATAGTTGTGAGCACAGAAACATGTATGTTTCAAGGTTACCTAAAATGAAACAAAATGAAAAGAGTCTAAATAGTGAATGAAAAATTTAAAATGATGTTTATTGGATTTTATGTACAATTTGTGTTTCGTGAATCGACTGACCGTTGGGCATCTCTAACTCAATGGATGTGGAAAAAGGTTTTCATAAAACCATGACTATAATTTAATATCTCCAACATTAGGAAATTACAGATAATTTTAGCATTTTTGGACTTTGGGTGAAAAACTATTTGTCACATGTTTTCTAAAAACTGAAAATCAAAGAGAATATTTTCACCTGTTTGGTGTATTTTCCCCCTGAATTTATTAATGGAGCAAAAAGAAAAAGGTGGGAAAAAATTAACAAATATATTTTTGATATTCAAAAGGTACTAAAAATATATTATTTTGTTTTGCGATTCGCTTTTCAAAAACGGGAACTGAATATCTGCATGTGCCAAATCAGACAGATGAACAGGCAGCAGAGCTGATTTAGTGCACATTCACTGGGTAAGGCTGCCTGAATACACACATAGAATACAAGTCAGCGAGAAAGGATGGATGACTTCCTAAAATACAAACGGAGACATGAAAGTTGTCAAGGAAAATATTGTAATGATTCAACATTTCTCTTTTATTTTCTCTTTGAATCAGAATTATAACCTCTATGTTCTTTTTTCTCTGGATGCAAAACAAGATTAAACAAATCTCCAACATACATTATTACCCCAAACCTGTCCGTGTCACTACGGGTGAGCTATGGAAAGCAAGTAAGTCATAAATCACAGCAGGGAACTCTGTGAGTGCAAAGAGACGGTCTTAGGTGTCTTATCAACAAACAACAGGCAAAGAAGCTGTTATGTTTGCACTTCAAGTGTCTAAGAACGCATGGTGTATTTTCTGTGTTCAGTTTTGGAGAGTGTTTGTGCCCATATTTATGTGAGATTTAACTTTATTGACTTGTGGCCTCCGATGGCCTTTCATGAAAGCTTTAAAGATCTTGATGACACCCTTAATTGTGTAAAGAAGCTTGTCTAATTGTTGGGTTTTGTGTAAAATGTTTTAGTGATTTTCATGAGGTTTCCACCAGCAGCAGACGAGTTTTCTCTTGTCTTTATCGCCTCGTCGTCAAGCTGGCCTTTTTGCTTTTCTCTATTCGTATTTCCTTCAACAAACAGCTGGGAGCTAATATGTTTACACATTATGCTCCATTATCCACGTCTCCTTTGTTCAAGAGCTACCAGTAACCAGAGTAGATGTCTACTGATTAAAGATGAAAAACCCTCAAACATTTAAGTTTTAAAAGTTAGAAATCTTAAAACTTTTAAGTTTTATTTTATTTGAATCCTGTCATTAAGGATTTAAATAATCAAACCCTGGTTCAGGAAAAGCTCTAGTGCCAAAGCTGACACTGGACTGTTTTATAATCAGAACAGTTTGCTTGAATTTTACTCCAATATATCCAGATAAATAGAAAAACAATGAAACAACTGGTCCTAGTTGAGCTTTAACTATATCTAAATTTATGTATTTTGCAGTTCAGTGAAACAATCAACCAACTTTTATGTTTGTAAGTTCTGCAGCGGCTGGCAAAATGATGAATGGAGGACGTTGGAAGAATCCGTTGATGGCTTTTTTTTTAGAATTACATGACATGTGTTGATCGACGTGTGAGGGGCCGGGGCGTAGGGGGTCGGCTCCCATCGGCGGCCAAATGGAGCCCACTCTTCTCCCTCTATAGTCTGCGTTTTTCCACTATTGCAGCACCTGTAACTCTGTGTTTGCTTGGAGAATACCTAGCATGGCTCTGACCTTGACAGGTCATTGGTGCAGGGAAAGGGGAGGGAGGCTGGGCTTCCAGGGGCTCCAGCCTTGGGGTTAATCACACAGCACACCGAATAGGTTCTGATGAATTATACATCAAAAATGGTGCAATTCAAATGAATGTGGAGGGAAACGGATAGAAATATGAAACAGGTGGGAGTCTGTGATGGAAGATAATGAACTATTTCTGATTTGCAAATATGTGAGCTTAGGGAAGAATACAATTCAGTGATCTAAAACAGGAAGTCCATATTCAGACTTCCATGTGTCTTAGACTGTCGTCATCTAAAAGATTATTCTGCTGCCTTAGTACATCACTAAGGCAGCAGAATAAAGTTTGGTTTTTAAATCTTAGAGGTGGACTTTGGCTGCGGTGAGTTTATTTCATTACAAAGTGAAGCAGGTGGAGAGTTTGGAAACTGAAATAATAACTGAATTTATCCCCCATCAGACCTTCACCATGTTTTCATTTAATTATGTTTTTGGAGGGTAAAATAGTTAAAATAAGGATAATGATAACACTACCAGCTCGAAAGGAATACAGGAGAAAATAAAATGATCAATTGATTTAAACACACACAGACACACGCGCGCGCACACACGCAGAGACACGCAAGCTGAGTCCAGATGTTACAGTGTGGCGTTGTTGCGCCTGGGCTGGAGAAAATACTAGCTATGTGGGGTGTCCCTTTTCCCCATCAGCAGCCAGAAGAGGGAAAAGTATTCCAGAAAAACCACAAGGACTTTGAGACGCTCTGCCTCGGGGATTCTACGGAAACAGACGCTGCGGAAGAGGCGAGATTGGGGAGATTTGACGCTCCTGTTTGCCTTTCATTTTTTCTACTCCGGAGCGCATGCTGGAAATTCCTGTGAAGTGCCAAAGAAACAACGCGTGGACGTGGAGGGACGGACTGAGAGACGGACAGAAAGAGCCAGGACAGAGGCATCTACGAGGCATCCACCGCGCTCCCCTTCCTCACGCCGCTTGGCATGCTCGTGCGGCCGCATCGTTTCCCCCACGAGCCGTTGTTTCCACGATCCTGAGCGCCGAGCCGCGGAAAAAACACGCGCACAGGGAGCACGCACGCGCAGATCCCCTACGTTCACACTTCCACACACAGACATGGCTTTTGTCTTAACACGCCGACCATGACGCATTGCTGTCAGGGCGCCGCACCGCGCCGCGGCTCCGTGTCCACATAGACAGCTGAGGAGGGGAAACGAAGGAGGAGGGAAAGTAAGAGATCCAATTAATTGTTACAGGAAGATGGCGCCCACAAAGCCCAGCATCCAGCAGGACCCAACACGGAAAGAACGGTAACACAGCTCTGAATTAGTGCGTTTTTTCCTCACTGCATGCTGAAGCTGCACAGACTCGGGCGGTTTGCAGGCTGCTCCGTGTCCGCTTTGAGGGGGGCGGGGGGTTTGGGGGGGTTGAATTCTACCCTTCCCAGAGGAGAACTGGGGCGTGCGTGCTGGCGCGCGCCTGAGATTGGCAGGCATGCGGCTGGTTACAGGTCGGAAACACATGACTGCTGTTGCTGCTGCTGCTCTCCTCTCGCGTTTCTCTTCTGCAAGTGTGTGAGCACCTGTGTGTGCTCTGTGCTGCTGCTGCTGCTGCTTGAGCATCATGGGAAACGATGTATTAATCGATGACAAATGTATATGTGTGTGTGTGTGTGTGTGTGTGTGTGTGTGTGTGTGTGTGTGTGTGTGTGGACACGTCAGTGCCCGATACAGTTATTAATGCGCAACAATGCGTCCCTCAGTTTTAGATTATTATGTGGAGGAATTCTTCCCGTAAGACTGTATGGCGATTGGAACTTCACGTGAAAACAGGCAGACCTCGAAATGACCTCAAAGGTGGTCACTGAGACTGAGCCAGTCTCAGTGACCGGGATTTCTGAGTCAAAACCTTATTCTTTTTTTTCATTGCATTTTATATTAACAGTTATCAACCTTTAAACTCATCTCCTGAGTGTTTATATTTTTTATATAAAAACCTGTGATTTTTGTTATTACATTTCAGGGTGTGTTGATTGCTATGTAAAATGCAAAATTTTCACCTGTTGATTCGGGAATGAGAAGCTGTCTTAAAAGGCTTTTGATCTAACATGTGATGGGTGTGAGAGCAGTGATCTATAACAGCAGGATGTCAGCAGTGCTAAAGACATGACAATAGATGTTCATAGACGGCAGGGAAACCTGGTTGATCATAAAGCTGCTTTACCAAGGGATGATGCTTCAGCATCCATCCACAGTTCAAGCTCTGGTTGGTCCAGATGTTAAAGTCCCTCTCAACTCAACCGTCTTCATCACTTTAAACCCCAAATTGTTGATCCTCCTGGAATGTTTTTTATACAAGCCTATTCTTTTAGGATGGAGGGTGTCTTTGTCATTAGTGATGGGAATTTCTACTCTTTTCAGAGAGCCAGTTCTCGTATCTCGGCTCCCAAAAGGCCCTTAATTTATTATCCTTCTGGGTGTCTCAGTCTCATGGTTTGCTCACTGTGCCGCTGTGTTAGCAGTCTCGCCCTCATAACGAGGAAAGGCTCTCAGTGAGGATCCCATCGTTCACTTCTACGTGCCGAAATGTTTGTGACTGACCCAATCACTACTTGCCATCACCCTAATCTTTTGGTCTCTCCACAGATTCAAGTTGAGATGTTTTATGCTGCTCCAAAACATCAAAATTTGTAGTCAAAACAAAAGTGTTGGTAGCCTGGTAAAAACCAGCCCTCTGTTTGCTCCATGCAGTGGGTCTGACCCTCAGCTTCCTCTGCTTCCTTTGTTAAATACTGTCAGGATTCCGGGTTGGTTGAGTTTTGGGTGTTTGCTTTTTAATCATTTACTTTTTTGAGTTCTGTTTTAGTTACTATTTGCTTTTATTTAGATTATTCTTCTCTAGTTGTTTGTTTACTTATGTCCAGGCAGTATTTATTTCTGTGGATTACTCAGGTTTTCTGTTCCTTCCCATTCTCTGTTTCGCTTTGTTTCTTCACTTCTCAGCTTTCCAGTTTGGTCCCTGTCTCGGCTGTTGGTCATTTCCTTATTTGTTCCCATCTGCTCCTTCCACACATGCATCTGTTCATCTGTAATTAATTTCTTCCAGTTCTT